GGCTTCAAGCGTTTTGACAGGCTGTGGATCGGCTGTCCACTCTCATCGCGTATGGTCTCGCTAACACTAGGTCTCCTGCTGCCTGTTTTCTATATCGGACGGAATTACCAACGGCATTAGCTGGATCCATATCCGAGGCAAAATGAGACCACCAGACTTCGCCGTCTCTCTTCAGGTTAGCATGCAGTATTTCCCTGAGATTTTTACGAGAATCCTTGTGTTCGTTTCCAGCCGGAATACCTGGACGAGCATCCATAAGCTCCAGAGACTGTGTAGAGACCGAATGTCCAGTTTGGCAATTTGATTTGCCACATGAAGACATGCCTGCTGATAGTAACGTTTGGCGAATATGCATCCAGTGATCTTCGACGATGTTCAGTCAAAATGACTCACTACCTGAACGCTTCTCGCAAGGATTCCGAAAGCAGATCTTGTCTATTGCCGAGGCTATTTACATCCACCATCTGAATCCGGAATTATGTGTACATAAACGATTCATACGGCCGATACTACTACTGTGGCCGACTGACATGGTTACTTAGTTCCACTTTGTGACTTTACCTATTTAATTTCAACTGCTGAAACTTGTGCATTAATTTTCCGTTGATGCACTTTTCTTGCCATCTGTAACCGTCTTTAGTCATTATTTTTGACTGTTCGAACGCCTTAGAAATCAATCCCAGCCCGATTTGACGCTTACCCCACACAATTAGCGTTATGTAAACGTTTGGGTCTGACGTGAGGTTACCGAGTAGGATTCTTAACCCTTAACTGATTTCTGGTCTTGATTCATTTGAATGCAATGGGAATGTTTGCTTTGCTGTAAAGCAGCATTGCCCGTGATTCGTTGAAAATGTTTTTTGTATTTTAATTTCTTAGTGCCTTATCTTTTCGTATTGCGGCATAGCTGAGGTGTTTGTTGTCACCATCAGCTTAACTCTATTGATGATGATGAGGAATGCTAATCCACGAGTTGGAGGCGTATGCGACACACGGATCGAGGAGGTACCTCTCACCACCATATAGCGCAACGACCCGCACTGCGGTGTGGAATGTTAGTCATGTACATCCAAGGGGATTCTTTCTCTACCATCTTGTGTCATAGATTCGAGAATGTCGTTCTAGCTTTCGCAATACTTAAGCCACTTTTAACAGTCATGCACTTTTTCCTGACAATGCAATCCACCAAATAGGTTGCTTGTTAGGCTATCCCTAGCTCCTCGCTATTAATCCCTATAAGGTTAGGTGGATATTCATGATCATGCAATTTCTCTTTGAAGCTGCAAAGCTCAGGTCAAAGAAAGGGAGTTCTGGAGTTGGTCAAAGGTTGATTTGGCTGACCTGCAGTTGCCGGACAGCAAGTCGATGCTTTCAGCAACGGTCAATTTGGCTACTGTTCTATCGTGTGGTAGTATAATGTCTGAAATATGTCACAACGCGAGGATGCACTCCATGCTAGAGTTTTTGATAAATGTCAGTGTGAACTAGTTGGGGCGGTCAGATGAATACTGCTTGTTGTCAGAATGACGATCGACGTTACGCTGACTTTTAAACTGTACTTAACATTCCATTACTTTTTAAAAATCGTCATCCGACATAGTTTAAGCCTCACCTGCGCTCTTTCCATCGACCTCTGGCACTGTTTAATCACATTTCCTACTCTTTTCATGTTCCACCTCTGAACTTCACTACTCAAATCTTTTGTTCCAACTGGTGAGTAATCATGGAGTTCCACACACATATTTTTACTCGTATACATCTTACCTACTTAGCTAACGAATTCCGACCTAGGGCGTTTTCGTTGATTCGACTTGTACCCGGCCTCATGAGTATGTGGTAACTGTTCATCTTGAGAATGCACAGTGAGTTACAGTTTTGGGGGCAATAAGTTAGGTCGTTGGATGACTCGTCTATGTACTGGTGATCTGTTCTTCATCGAATCTCATGTATGTTATGTGGCTTAGTTTCAAATGAGATGAAATTACTAGCCTACCATTTACGAGAACAATACTGTCACAAAACCAGACGAGCTTAACTCCCTTAACCGGTTTTCACAAGGAGAGTTCCCTGTAGGTTACAACTCTCTTCATCCCCCGGATCACCCCCTATTTCAATTTGTTTAAACCGAAACTAAGCGATTCATTATTGCTTAGTAACACTGTGATTCTTAATTACAGCGAAAGGCGCACATTCTGTAAAATTGCAACCACCTTTATTCGTTTGTCAGTAATCTTTCCTCTACCTAATAGATTCCACCTGGGGGTACAGCGTGGGGACATTTGCATTCTGCCAATATGAATCACCCTTGATGATTGGCCTTTCCGGGAAACACTTTAGTTGTGAATTTCGGACAAGTGTTTGCATTCGACCAATTCGGAATTGGTACTGCTACGTTTCACTGGATCCGTCTCCCTTGCCTTAGCACTTGCACATTCCTGTTTTCAGATGCTGTTAATATTAAGGAATAGAAATCAGCTATCAGCAGTTGTAAGTGGTTGGCAGTCTTCGGATCCCGTAGTATTCGGATGCTGCGCATCTCCGGCGTCGACATTGGTCTCCAAATAAACTTTACTAGTCTAATCCTGTCTGTCTCAGTGGAGACGCCGGATCAACTGGCTAATAGGTTCCAATCGTCCTCTCTGTTCTGAGAGACACCATCGGTGGAGTACATTTTACCATGAGGTCTTCTCTGCTCTAACTATACACATTGTTCCCTAAGGCTATCTTCGTAGCTTAGTGAAGGTCGCTCGCCAGTTAAGAACCTTTTACCTCTTTCCAAGATGTTTGCCACCTCATTTTGGGTCTTCTGATTTCCCATCTCGAAGTGGTCTCGAATCCTACCTACAACGGCATTTCTAACTTATGTTTCGCATCTTAGTATCCTCTGACGATTTTTTTAGTCTCACGAACTGTGCGTATTTTTGATCCATTTTTTTCTCAGGACACAGTGTGTAACAGCATTCGTGCTGAAACAGATTATCATGGTTTCGGATTTTATCCTTGATGCACATTTTCCACCGCACGTAATCTCATTTCATCCGCATTTAGCTTGCACGTTCTCTCCGGCTGCTTTCATGGTAACGTCATATGTTCGCTCTGGTTTAGAAGGTTTTCTCTCCTTACGCTAACGCTAATCGGAACGAGGTATCCTCCTATCTTCCAAGCTCTTTTGATGCATATCACGATATATCTATGAGGACGCCGCAAATACCATTGGTCACGATCGTGGTTTCTGTCATTTTCCGCTAATTGGAAACCTCGGACAACCAGAACAAGCCGATACGCATCGTATCGCGCTGTCCTAAAAACAGTTTACCGAATTCAGACCCTCGTTGTACCAAGTGCTCCCTTCCATTTTGCCATTAGTCTTGCCAATGTTGTGAAAACTCTCCACCTGGTTAGCGGTGTCATTCCGTGCCAATCGCCTGCCTGTTCTCTAGCTTTGTTGTCCACGATCTGGGATACTCGTATCAAAACAATACTATTCGTCTTCCAAATGAGAACCAACCCACCTGTAGTCTCACCGATTGGTAAAATAGACGGGCATGAACTGACAGCTCACATTAGCCCCTTGGGATTATCCCCCTCTGTCCGGGTGGTTTTTTCGTTATTTTCCGTTTGTTTCACTTGTGTGACCACCAGCCGTTCTTCAGTAACTTGATTGACGCTCACAGCGTTGCCCTCATTTTTTATGTTAGTCATGTAATCAATAATGAGCTTTCTAAATCCTGCATCTCAAAACTCAGCTTATAAATCAAACCTCTCATTGAAAGATACGCCTATTTTTAGCTATCCTGTTTTACGGCTAAATAACCAGTCATAGGTATGTGCTGGTGCTCGACGCATCTTCCACTTATCTGTACTTAACCCATTCAGGGACGCTAGCACTATTATGTTGGTCCAGATGGGCATACGTTTCTGACTGAGGAGTGGTGTTTAAGGCGTGCGGTACTTCCAACGATTTGAACACCATCGCGGCGGAGTTTCTGCTTGCGGGCGAGCAAAACTCTTACTCTGATTCAATCGGCATGGGAAGTGCATATACTCTTCACATGTCTGTTCCTACCGATTCCTTGAATGAATGTATTTAATGGATCTGTGGTACGCTCATTTGAATACCTAGGGGAACTATACTCGGATGGACTCCGATGGTTTACCGAATATACATAATTCGATCTAATATCTTCGTTGGAGTTCATTTACAACATTATAATACGCCGCACTGAGTAGTTCCGGCTTGTGTTCCCGCGCAGTACAACTCATAAACCGAACGTTTCATCATCAGTCGGGTGACAATATCGGTGCTGCTTTGTCAATAGTTTCATTGTGGCTGATGGTGTTGTGGCTTTTACACTTGCTCCACTCAAGTTAGTTACGTAGTATTCTTTGTATGCCCATTAACTGTCTGCCTTCTTGCGTGATCTATTCACTTGCTGCGCTTGGTTGTGTGATACCCTGTGATGATAAATTGATGACATTGCTTAAACGCCTAATGGCGTTGGAAGGCTCTATTTGGAGCACACATGTGTATGGATTGCGACTCACAATCTCCATGCGGACCGCGATTCACATCGTAGTAAACTTTGGCCAATTCGATCACTGAGACCATAACTGATGAAACAAATGGATTTTGGATATTGTCGTCCCAAATAGCCCCAGTTCGGGAGGTATTTGGGCCAGTGTGTACCTTGATGGGGCCTCGGACACATCATCACTTAGGAACCATATTCACTGTGACGGAGTCGCGGAGCTGCTCATCCCCTGTGTCTCACAGTTACTTTTTCTATCGGATGTCCCCAGTCCTTCTAACTCGTTTCACTTTTGATTTTTTTTCCGACGTTGGATTTTCCACACAATTTTCCACTGTTAATCTCTATTTTCAATGCAACACAGATTATGGCGACCGCATCCATTTGTTGCTTAGGCCATAGTTGAACAAATGGGCACATTTGAGGTGTTTTCAAGCTGCTTCTCTTTCTCTGTCTCCTTTGTTTTTATAGTTCAAGCTTTGCGAAATAAACGATATTCCAGTACGAAAAACACTATCACTCTTCTACAAATGGCCTTCACTGAGAACGTACCTCGAACTTGATTACTTTCACGTCCGTCGAATCCGTTTGCTGCAGGCCCATTCAATGATTTTACAAGCTGAGGATCGATCTCTTTCATCGTGTTTTGGTCACACTTGGCAGGAGGTGCAGGAAGTTAGTTTTGTTCATTTATTGCTTGCAATGGTCGCCACTTCAGTCCTTTGCTTCATGCGCCTGGCATTACGTGTTTATCAGACAACAGGCCCGTCAACTTTTGATCGGCTCTCATCCGTCTCCCTTCCATCTTTTTGCTTAACGATATTGTTCATGGTTCTCTTTTTGAGATTCTTACTGAGGAATTTGATCGGTGCTCATTTAGACCTCAGATAGATCGCGTTTATCCGTCCGTTCCTGCTCCGATTTGACCGTGTCAACAAACTTATCCATTCTATGTTGAGCATACAGGCGAATATACTCTTTTCCTCTGCCTCCTTTTGTTTGTGTGCTAGGAGCAGTAATTCATTACTGTTGTGTACACTTTGGATGAAAGGTCTACTGAGTACATCGATATCTGCAGCATAAGCTGTCGCGAAGGAGCTGGGTAGCTTCCTTCCGAACTGGTGGTTTGAACTCGTACGAAACATGCTGGTCGCTACTCGTTTAAACACACAAATTCTGGCCACACATCTTAAGGGAAATAACTGCCATTTTTGACAAACTTACACATGCAACTACTTACATAACCATCACAAGTCGTAACACTGGCGCAACTGGATTCTGTAACTATCATCTAGGCTGTTGGATAATTAGTGCCGTCAACCCTGCCCTCTTCACAGTTCCTAACTGGCATGGCACTGGAGGATGTGCTGCGCTGTATTGCCGTTAGGTATCAGCCACGCGAGTCTATCGCCGTCACCCATGGCTCAGTGGCATAAGCTACTGGCCTCCAGAAATCATTGCAGTCGGAACCGGGAAAGTGTGCGAAGAATCTGCACCCCTGACGTGGCCCAAGAGGTCTAAATGGCCTTGCGGTGATTTTCCAGAGTTGTGGGAACCTGCCTGGCTAAGAGCTGACTGCAATGGACTACACCCAAAGGAGACCTTAACTCCCCGCCGCTCATGTGTATAATTAATGATCCTTTCCCCGTCTGATTCAAATATCCGCCCCACCCCCATGCCCGGATGTACGCAAGTCACCAGGAAACGATTGTGGTTAGGTTGCTTCTTCCGTATTTTGTGTCCTAAAACACAGCAGATGTCCCGTCGACTGCGCATGGTGTCCCAATCAGTGTGCTCGGTCCCAACGGCAAGTACTTAGATTTTCATTCTCCTTCCAACCACTTTACGAGAAGCACACTTTGCACCGCTACTTATTTTTGGCAAATGCCAGTTGCGAAGCGTAGCAAAATCTCGTCAACGAAATGCTCTTACTGACGTTCCTTGTGGTCGGCACTTAATCGAAAAGTCGCCCATCTCAGCTGATGTCATTAATTTTCTTGTCATTGTCTATTTCCAACTGTGGCATCTACATGGTGAAACTCACGTTCCCTTTGTTATCGCAGTACTGGTCAGGAATCCTAATCTGCGAGCTCCTTTCTCGCAACCGTTTGCTGTTTCGTCTCAGCAGGCCGATGCCAGTACTGTCGGCATATACCGTACCTAGTTGCTACATTTGTGCACTTAAATGACCCGGTATTGCCATTCTCGTCGGGCACATCATCGCGTTCCATTTGTCTATGCTCAGCGCATTGTTCACCAGGCAGCCGACAATCCAGTAACCTCAACTCCATCGCTAGCCTCAAGGGAATGTGCCTTCTTGTTTGCTGTTGAGTGCAATGTTCTCAAGACTTCCGCGTTAGAAGAGTGTTTCATCACTCCGGTGTACTTGTTTTCTCTGCCTTCGCGAACGAATGACGAAATGGCAGTGAGATCGCCAGTGTCAACGGAAATGTGTACCTCCTCTCATGAGGTGTGTTGCATCCGGCCTCTCCTACCCGATCTACTGTCGCACAGGTTCTCTCACTCTTAAGCGATACTTGTTGTGAATATGCTGATTAACGACCGATGATCATCTATTGGATACTCCGCCTTATTCATATTTGCAATTGACTTTGCAATTATATTGCTCAATGGGCATCTGCGATCCGTTTTTGTGAGCACATGCGTGCTGTGGCTATCCACAATCAAATCCTTAGACGACTCCTTGATCGCCCAGCATTACTTTAGGATCATGCGTTGCAAAGCATCGCTCTTCCTAACCTATAATCTACCGGTTTATCTACATGTTTTCGTGACGAAGCTGTCATTAATTTTCCCTGTTTTTCACTCCTATTTTTCCTACTCCATCTTATAGCTGTGCTCCTTGCGAGGCATACACACGGAGAATCAGCTGACACCCGATGCTGTGTATAGACTTAATCAGTGGATCCACTTGAGTTTGACAACTCCACGTACGTCCATACGTATTAGTATGAACCTTTTTACACAGTTTGAAAAGCAGTAACTTATGTCCTTTTATTGCCTGCGTTATACTGTTGTCTAGGCAGTCAACATGAAATGTTGAACCTCCAGTCGATACTGTTAACATTCTTCTGGGTTAAATATTCGGTTATCCTATTTACATTTCCCAGTGACTTAGGCCTCGGGACTAACAGACCTCTTAGGTGTACTGGCTCTGAGGGTACTGCTATGAACCGAGGATTGATAATGAAAGTAGGTAACTTTTGGAACGCGTGTAGTTGGACCGTTCCTCAGAATCTACTTGTCTTAGATGTACCTACCCACTTAGACCTTTGACGTTAACAGAGTTTGTAAGTAGTAGGGGGATTTATTTGGTTTTGTGTAGATTCGTCGCAGTTAGACACAGGCAGACAGTCACCACACATCCAGGAAAGTGCTAGACGGCCGTTTCGTCCTATTGGGGCTCGTCAGTAGCGCGCACCCGCCGAATCCTGCCGGATTCGAACCCACGACCTTACTCTTGCGAGTCAGCGAATTATGTCACTGAGCCATGGGCGACGGCATCGGACCGCCATGACTGATATCTAACTGCGATATAGCGCGGCTCATCCTCCACTGTCTTGCATGTTATGAATGTGCAGAGGACAGGACTGGACCCCAGATCAACGACTTCCTTTGCAAGCCACCACCAATCGAGGTGGGATGTAAGTTGCTAATGCAACTACTGATTATTTGTAAGTAGCCGTTATTTAGAAAGGACAACTCTAACCAGATGACTGACGCATCCATCGTTTTTCCGGAGCAAAGGCATGGCAGGTGAGTCAACCTCGCCCGCAGGGATTGGAGCGAACAGCTGGTCAACCGAGTGAAGCGACAAATGAACAGGAGGATGGCATTACTCGATTGGCCGTAGCGATCCTTCTGGAGTTTTTCGCGTGAGCTTTAAATACCACACGAAATTTCAATTTTACCTTTATACTGAATGCTATGGTTGGCTATTGGGTGTGGAGTTATGGGTGGCGCAACGCAAGCCACCCATGGCCTCTCTGTAGGCGTAGGCGTCCTGTGGCTGTCCTATGGAGGCAACAGTAACCGGCAAATCCGAAACCGGATGCCGCCAACCATGATGGGCTAATAGAACCCTGTTCCTCTGCTCGTCCGATCTGGTCTTCTCTCTCTCCTGTGGGGAGGCCAGCGACCTCGAGTTCCAACTGCTGATCAACCATAGATTCGGGCGAAGGACGACCACTTCACCTGGCGACGGATTGAACCCTAATCAAAACGCCCATACCAGTTGACGAGCTCAATGCCATTCTGCTGCAGCAACAAACACAATTTGAGGCATCCCAACTCAGGCTGATCGAAACTGTTACGCGCCAACTTTCAATCCAGACCGGTTCACAGTTCACAACTGCCAAGCCGTCCGCATTGGTAAACGCCATCGGCAACAGCATTACCGAATTTTCGTACGACGTTGATACTGGTCTCACCTTTATCCTGGTTCAAGCGTTACGTAGATGTGTTCCGCATTGAACTTGGAGACCATGAGGACGATTTGAAAGTCCGATTACTATTAAGTAAACTTGGAACAACGGAGCACTCCAGGGATGTCAACTTTATTTTACCCAAGAATGCTCGAGACTGCAATTTTGATGAGATTGTGAAATCTTTGGGCTAAATATTTGATGAGCATTTTTACCATCTTTAACAAGCGATATCAATGCCTGGTGATCACCAAGGTGGACGCTGACGACTACGTCACTTACGCTGGCGTCATCAATCCCGATTGCGAAAAATTTGACATCAAAACCATGACGGCAGCTCAGTTCAAATGCCTGATTTTTATCTATGGCCTACCTTCCCCACGGGATGCAGAGACTCGCACCAGGTTTTCTGAATAAAATTGAGCAAGACCAGCAAATGACTCTACAGATCATAACTACTGAATGCCAACGATTGCTGAACCTCAAACATGGCACGCTTATGCTGGAGAGGCAACAGTCAACCCGAAGTCTTAGTGTATTGAAACCCGCTTCCAAGTGAAACCTGCCATGAAAAGCAGAGAGAGAATCCAACCCCCCCCCCCCCCCGACTGCATTTAGGAGATGTGGTGAGTGGCATTTTGTTCGAGTATGTCCATTCCTGAAACATGTTTGCCACAGGTGTCATAAACGGGGCCATAAGGAAAACGCACTGCCAACCCAGACTGCAGTTCAAGCGTGCTAGACATCCGCGACAGAATTCGAATATTCCTAAGAGATTCAGCAGCTAGCGGCCTACTCTGATGAACGTGTGGTTCGTATAAGGTACATCAGAATTCACTTGAACGGGCAGCAAGTACGTCTTCAACTGGATACAACGTCGAACATCACAATTATCTTCCGCAAAACTTGGCAGTATATTGGTGCTCCGTCAATTAGCCGGACGACACGTTGCATTTAATGCTTCCGGAGGTCAACTTAATCTCATTGGTGAGCTGCAGTGTGAAATGGTTTTTGGCGCTGTTCAGGAAAACAGCATCGTGTACATTACGCAGCTGTCACATTTGAATCTGCTTGGGCTTGACTGGATCTAGAGGCTCCACCTGTTCGACATCCCCCTGGGTCAAGTCTGCAATAACCTCCAGCTCGGACATACGAGGTCCTCTTCGGATGTGAATGAATCGAAAATAAGCTTATCGAGCAGCTACGAGGAAAATTCCCGTCTTTGTTTCGCAATGACTTAGGAAGATGCACAGGGACCAAAGCAAGCCTTACTCTGAAGGACGGTACCAAGCCGGTATTCCGACGCAAAAGACCGGTACCATACACTGCGCTTCCGACTGTTGATACGGAACTTGATCGTTTAAAGAGAGCCGGCGTCATCCAACTTGTGAACTGTTCAGCATGGGTAGCGCCTATTTTTGTCGTCAAGAAGACTTAGGGGGCTGCTCGTATCTCTGCGGACTACTCTACAGAATTGAATGCTACTTTAAAAATGCACCAGTATTCTTTGTCAGTCCCATAAGATTTATTTGTTAAGCTCAGTGGTGACACTTATTTTGCAAAGCTCGATATATTATATGGTTGTCTTCAATTTGAAGTCAACAGTACTTCAAAGAAGTTGCTGACAATCAGTACGCACCGATTCTTTATCAGTTCAACCGTTTATAGTCAAATTAGTTCTCGCGATTTTTCAACAAATTGTGAACACGATGTTGGCTAGGTTACTCAGGGTCGCAGCTTATTTGGACGACATTATAATCAAAGGGACTACACATCGAGAACTGACAAAAGACTGGAAGCAGTTCACCGCGTTAATGACTACAGGTTCCACTTGAAAACAGAAAAGTGCAATACTGGAATGAAGTATGTAAATTATCTTGGCTTCATCATCGACAAGGATGGCCGTTGTCCGGATCCTTCCAACACTAGTGCCACCAAACAGATGTCTCCCCTGCCAATGTAGCGAAGCTCAGATCATTTTTGGGGTTGATCAGTCATTACAGTTCTTTTGTGCCCGAAGTGCATCAGCTACGAGGACGGCTAACTAAACTTCTGGTAAAGGATCGCAAATTCGTATGGTCTTTTGATTGTCAAGCCGCATTTGATAATGTCAAGTTCAAATTGTGTTCTGACTTTTTGCTGACGCTTTTCAATCCGGAGCTGGAGGTCGGGCTTTCTGCTAACTCGTCAGACTGCAGAATTGGAGCGGTCATATCCAACATGTTCCCCAATGGTTCGGAGAAAGCTGTGGCACATGCAGTCAGATCACTCACCCCCAGCGTAACGCAACTATGGACAGATCGAGAAAGAAGCTTAGACTATAGTGTTTACAGTCAAACGATTTCACAAAATGCCATATGAACGAAAATTCATACTCTTCACGGACCACAAACCCTTGGTTGCAATCTTTGGATCAAAGAAAGGCATTCCAGTCTGCTCGGCTAGCCGTCTCCTCCACTGAGCAACGGTTCTACTTGGTTACGATTTCGTCCTCAAATATCATACTACACACAACATTGGTCAGGCGGATGAGTTATCTCGTTTAATTGGTATACAGTGTCCGGAACCGGAGGATTTGGTAGTTGCTCAAATCTCCCTAGAACCCCAAGTAAATTAAGTTGTGTCCGACATTTTCGGTATCTTACGAGTAACGTTTGAAATGGTGCAAGAAGCGACGTCATGATCCTACCCTACAACAAGTAATCAAGTTTCACCTCAATAGCTGACCTAAGAGAGTTACAACGCCGGACCTTCAACAATTCCACCAGTGGAAGAAAGCACTATCAGTCGTCAACAATTGTCCGTTGTTCTCAGATCACGTCGTCATCTCTGTCATCCTTCAGGTGGGAGTCCTCCGACAATTGCATACTGGCCACCCAGGAATGAATCGCATGAAATCGCTGCTACGAAGCTATGTGTATTGGTCCTATATCGATTCCCAGATCGGGTATTTAACGAAGAATTGTCTCAGATGCGTCAGTGTCTCTAAACAGCCAAGGAAGACGGAATAACAATCTTGCCCGATACCAACGGAACCGTGGTCCGGGGCACACGTCGATTTTGCGGGTCCAATTGACGGGCATCATTTTCTCATCGAAATTAATGCCCACAGTAAATGGCCTAAGGTGATTCCAATAGTGGAAACTGCCGCAGGAGCCGCTGTCTCTGCACTTCGACGAGTATTTTCTCATTTCGGTGTTCCCCATACGTTGCTTTCGGACAATGGCACTCGGTTCACCTCCTCTCCATTTGTTGTCTTCTGTCCTCCATGTAAGATCTCCGTCTTTCCACTCACAATCAAACGGGCAAGCAGAACGCTTTGTGCATACACTCAAAAGAGCCTAGCTAAAAATGAAGGGACAAGGTACCTTGACGGATATTCTTGTCACATTTCTTTTGACTTATCACACACCTTCAAATCCTTAGACATCGAATACACTCGCCCCGGCTGAAACTCTGTTTCAATGGAAAATCCGTGCGTCGCATGATGCCCTCAGACACAGGAAGGAACAATTGCTGTCCCGCAAATTTCAGATGGAACGTCAATTCAACATTCGGCACGGTGCTCGAAAGCGAACCTTTCATGTTGGCCAACAAATTTAGGCGTGAAATTGTCGCATCCACTATCCCCAATGGGCCGTGTGCTATGCCAACATGGTAACGTGGTATACGCTATCTTGGTGGGGACAGCGATTTGAGTGAGATATGCCAATCATCTTCTAGAGGTAGGGGCTAGCGGACAACTACAACAACAAATACATGCAGCGCAAATGCCTCTGGACATACTGGCCGTTGCAGGTGAAGCGGAAACTCCTCAGCACATCAGTCACCTGCTTCGTCCCGAACTCTGATAGCAAAGTGGCCGAAGCGGCGACACAAATTCATGTCAATCACGCAGGTTGACCCAAAGCTGAAATCGTACAACGCAACTCAGAGAAGAGAAGTGTAAGAAAGGAAAACTCTAAGCGAACGACTGAGGCGCCCATTATTGCTACGGAGCAAAGGCATGGCAGGCTAGCCAAACTCGCCCGCAGGGATTGGGGCAAACAGCTAATCAACCAGGTGAAGCGACTAATGGACACGAGGGTGGCATTGCTTGATTGGCCGTAACTTCACCCTTCTGGAGTTTTCCACATGAGCTTTAACTACCACTCACGAAATTTCGATTTTACCTGTTTAAGGAACCGGTATGATTGGTTAATAGAACCCTGTTCCTCTGCTCGTCCGATCTGCTCTTCTCTGTCTCCTGCGGGAGTTCCGATAGCCAACCAACCGTCAATTCAGGTGAGGGACGACCACTTCAGAGTTCTTCATTTAAACCTAACTGTGTGCTTTGCTCTTCCAGCAGCGGAGGGAATACATGCTGAACAATCCGTCCTTGAGTTTATTCTGTTTGAGAACTCATGTATGCATACGATTTCCGAAGGTACTGAAATTTCTAATAGGGAACAAAGTGGATCTGTATACTCACTACCTGATTGGACTGTAGTGCGAGCTTACGATTCTCTTCAAACTGTCTATTAGTCCACTTTTTTTAGTCTGTCAGCTTTAGTCGCGGTTATTGCACAGTCAAAACTCGCGGTCAAGGGAACGATCACAGGGTTGCGTTTTATTTATGCTTGACACCTGTCTACTCAGTTTACGCCTTCCCACGCTGTATTAGGCAAAGCATAGTTTCTCCAGCCTCACAAACCTTATCAGAATGAATCAAGCGAGGCAGAATTTGAGTAAAGAATTCTTTTCGGTGATTCTCATCAGACTCAAACATTACACGATAACGACAAAGTGCTAAATGTGCGGATTGGGCTGCGTATTGATCAGAATGTTTGCTATTAACAGGAACAAATCAATAACTCACAAGGCCATTGAAGGTGGCAAAGTATGTACAGGGGGAAATCACAGCCGAAGTTGCAGGCCACGGTAGAAGTAAAGGACGTACAAACTGTTTTTGTACGCACAATTCTGGCTTGAGGTGGCGGATGTAGATAGCTTCCGCAATAGACAAGAGATGCTTCCGCAATCCGCGCGAGAAACCTTCAGGGATAATATAGATGACTCTGAAATCGTTTTTCGTCCCTGCGTGACTGGAGTCTAGAAGGAGAGACAAAATGGAGCTGTTACTAGATCTCGCTTCGCCATTGTAAAACCAGGTCGGGATGTGTTCGCGAATCCTATGAGATAGGCGCCTCGTAGTATGACCTATGTATCGTACACCACAGGACCACGAGTAAAGGAGATAGTGCGACTGATGCCCTGCCCAAACGCCTGAAGGACGCTGGTGAAAACATTTATTTCGCGACTCGCCTATGCATAGTATTTTACAACAAGCCTTTAATCGCAAAACCTTTGAAAGACAGACTGCCTCCGGTGACTCGACCAATCCTTGTTTATCTTTACTCGTGCTCCTGTGGTGCACGATACTTGGTTCATACTACGAGGCGCCTATCTCATAGGATTCGCGAACACATCCCGACCTGGTTTTACAATGGCGAAGCGAGATCTAGTAACAGCTCCATCTTGTCTCTCCTTCTAGAGTGCAGTCACGCAGGGACAGAAACAGACTTCAGAGTCATCTATACTATGCCTGAACGTTTCTCGCGCGGATTTCGGAAGCATCTCCTGTCTATTGCGGAAGCTATCTACATCTACCACCTCAAGCCAGAATTGTGCGTACAAAAACAGTTTGTACGTCCTTCACTTCTACCGTGGCCTACAACTTCTGCTGTGATTTTCCCCTGTACATAATTTGCCACCCTCAATGACCCTGTGATTTATTGATTTGTTCCTGTTAATAGCAAACATTCTGATCAATACGCAGCCCATTCCGCACATTTAGCACTTTGTCGTTATCATGTAATGTTTGAGTCTGATGCGAATTACCGAAAAGAATTCTTTACTTAAATTCTGCTTCGCTTGATTCATTCTAATAAATGGAAATTTCTGGATTGCTGAAAATCAGCATTCCCTGTGATTGAGTCACAAACCTTAGTCAGTGATGCTAGAGCTTTCTTTGTTGGTTTCCAGCTTCCGTCAATTCGCTGTGCGTCGATCGGCCAATCAATGTGTCTATGCAGCATGGCTCGGTGGATTGAACTATTAACCTACTTTCCCACTACTCTTCAGCCAGGCACACATGTACAAAACTCTAGATGCCTGCATATGGGCCTCTGCCACGTCAGTTGTGCCTTATTCATCGCGCTGTTGCCTGATCATCATTTATTCAATCAAGAACTTTTTGTTACATTCCTTCAGTGCTGTTAACTCTGTCAGCTTTTTAGGAAACGCTGTTTTATACTTATCGTCTTGGAACATGCGGTCGTTAGCCATTTTTGTCCTTGGCGTGTGTATCACGGCCGAAAATGTACTCTCCATAGGTGCATAAAGCACATTTGCCTTTCTCAACTGTAGTTTGATTATACTTAATCCTGCTATTCACACTCCCAGTAGTCATTCGTATTGGCCGAGCGCCCTCGTGATTCCTGGATTGACCTTTCTACGGCCCTGGCGAACCTTTCTCTATCGTTCTGTAGGCGTCACTCGCGGTTGCATTGTGATTCCATGTTCTCGGTTCACCTTGCTCGGACGGTTCTACTGGCACTGTTTTCGTTTCGAGTTAGTCCGATTAGTTTAATCATCATCACTCGAAATCTTTTTACCTTGGTTCCATGGCTTCCTGAATGCTTTCAATTCGTATTCTTTTTGGCCTCTGTCTATATGGCTATTCTACACTATAACATTGCTCTGAACATGTGAGGACAGCAGTATGTTACTGGTGTGTGTGCGTTATTTGTTTTATCACAGCATTAGTTTCAACATTGGTTTGTACATCGTCGTACCTATTTTTTGTTACTTTTCTGGTTTACGAAATGCACCAGCCGATTAAAACTCGGGTACCTACCTCATTCCACTGTGATAATTCATTACAAGCTCCAGTAAATATATGTCATGGACACCAGTTATGATATATGTTTCCATGTTTCCCTCTCTTTCAGCTTCCAATCATTCGTTTCGCCTGCATCTACCTGTGTTTTTGCACTATATTCCTCCCCAGCAACAAACATGAGTCTTTTCACTACAATCCAGCTTTCCAGTTATTTCTGCATTCGTATGGGACTCCGTTGTGCTTCCATGCCGGGCGTTTGAAACGCTTCGTCGTCCATTTGGGCATTTTCCTACATCCCGGCGACCTTTTTTTCTCGTGTGCATGAACAGACCAATGCTGTTCATATTCTCAGTGATTTGTAAGCTCCTCGTAACACATCTGGTCAACGCATGGCTTTCACTTTTAACCGCTTTGACCAATTAACACGTTAGCTTCACGGTCACTTTCGGCGTTTCGAATTTTGTTATCTACGAGAGCGACAACCGTAGCACTACCTAGTCTGGAAACAGTGCCCTCAAACAATAACTTTCTGCACAAGTCTACGAGAAGGACTATCTTTTCATGGTGGCTGTGCAAACTCGTATTTCCTTATTCAACCTACTGCGATCAACAGTGTCGAAATTGTCGCCTCTTAACGATCCCTATGCTGGAATTTTTTATTTACTTGGTTACCTACGGAGTTTTGTTGCACCTGAAGTACAGAAAATTAACCGATGTGCTTAAGATTAGTATGGGTTTGGAAGCGTTGTTTTTGTGTGTGGTGCTAGAAACCTGGATGCCAATAGCTGTGGTAACGCTGATCAGTACGACTGTCTTCTGTGTGGAACGGACCGGAACACACTGTCAGAGAAAACCTCATTAGTCAGTATCATAACATGCTATAGATCGATGTTGATTTTTTACGATTGGTTATTTGGAGAGCCATTCCGATTCTTCTTCATACTAAACCACACTAAGTTACCTGAGGTGTCATCTCGGTTTGATGCCTCAGCTGAGCACACTCCTGTGTCACCAATGTTATACACACCAACACTCCACGACGCAACTATGTACATCCAACACGTGACCAGCTGCTGGCGGGGAACTTTGGCGGGTGTTTTGCCTACCTTTTTGTGCAGCCAAATGTCTTTTCTCCTTAAAGGTTTTACAGAACACTTGCGGGCGCACGTTGGTCTATAGCTGTGTGACTAATTTTCGTGTCTTACTTGCCCCAGCAATACACATGTGAACCAACGGATTGCGCATGGTATGTCTTTAACATAATCCGTATCTGGTCTTTCGATATGTTAAGAATTGTTATCAATCTACTCCCACCCACTGATTGTCCCTTGATGTAGCTTGTCCAAATGTGTTCCCAGAAGCATGTGCCCGTTTATTTCTCTGTGTGCAGTCCAGAACAGGCGTCCGAAGCTAGGTTTCCTCGACTACCCTTACGAACTCACGCAAAAATATGTTTGAGTGGTAGCTAACTCTACCTATATATATATATATATATATATATATATATATATATATATATATATATATAGGTAGAGTTAGCTACCATTCAAACATATTTTTGCGTGAGTTCGTAAGGGTAGTCGAGGAAACCAAGCTTCGGACGCCTGTTCTGGCGGCATCCGGTTTCGGACTTGCCTGTCACTGTGGCCTCCAAGGCAACAGCCACAGGACGCCTGCGCCTACAGAGGGACCATGGGTGGCTTGCACTGCACCACCCACAGCTCCAACCACACACCCTATACCCAGTGTAAATCCGAAGGAATAAGACCGGGAGGCATGTGGATGGGAGCCACATTTCATCAACGGAACCGGCCCACACTCCTTCACAGGCAAACACAAGCACGCTGTATTTGGGAATCACCACATTCATCCTTATGACAGATTATTCTCCGACGTACAACATTTTGCGCATAGAATTGCTATGTATTGCAACAGCAGATGGAAGAGAAAGACAGACGTGGACTTTATTGTCGGACTGGATTGTAACCTTTCAGCGAGAAACTACCACGTTTGTTGTACCCCTACTCGTAAAGTAGGCGTGACTCGTGTACTTGATCCTGCTATCTTTGTTTGCCTGACGAGTGTTAACAGAAACGGTCGGGGAGTGCTGTTTTGGAAGTAGGATGCACCTATCATTCATGATCGAATTGAGCGGAATTCATTTCACCATGAGTCACATTCCTGATTGAGACCGCATGTCGCAATCTATTTACACGAAGGCCTCAGAGTTGCTCATCCGATGAGTCATTCACCGTTCCGGCAAGCATTGCCAGCGATTCGGTGGCTTAGGAGCAAAGGCTTCATTGGACATCCCGACGGTCCCGGATTCGAGTCGCACTCCTGTTATATCGGCCTGAGGAATGCTACAGAACACGAACCGGCCTTGGAGTGCAGTGTTTGCGGGCAGGCAACACCTGTTACTCATATGCTTGCTCATTTGTTCGTGGCTGTCGGACAAACGTGTACTCGTCCAAATCCCTCTACATTTTTTCGTAGTGTGTTGGGCCATGGCAGCTTACTTGCTAGGCACTACCCAGATGCTCTACATTCTCCGTATCTAAACATTGATGTGCATTTTACTCTTTGACTAGTGTCACCCGTACATGTGCTAGCTGGGTCATTAGAGTGCCTCCGGACCATCGCACAAACAATTTTATCATCTGGATTGAACGATCATACTGTTATGGCAACGTTACACCTCAAACGCGGTAATCGCGGACTGTGCGTTCATAATATGCTTCATTCTATGCTGAATCATCTAGAATAACATATGCTTGAAGTGCTCACCGTACTTTCCCTTGAGAGAACAGAGCTCGAAATTTTTCCATGCACGCTGCACACTCCTGCACTCATCGACTGAGGCTGATTGCAACTTTGTGCTGTAATTCTGGGGAGCATTGGGCCCCTGTTTGACAAAGGAACAAACGAAAGGCGTATGAACTGAGCAATCAGTCACTGGCTCCCAATGGGCGCGATTCCCTGAATTCGCTCCGCTGCCTTGCGGGCAGGCTATTCAGCCAAATGCTCGGGGTGGTGTCCCCTAAGTCAACACCCTACTTCGGCTTGGGCAACCGGGTAGTATCTCGCCCTCTGATGAAACCATGGACTTTAATGTGTTGTGTTTTCTTTTACAATTTCTGTACCTTCTTTTGTATGTGATGACTCTATGTCTGTTCATAGACTTGCAACGTGGTGTGGATGGATTGTGTGTGTGTGTTAGTTTTTTATTTTATTTAGGTGCTAGTCTCTC